TTCCACATCAAACAGATGTTCACCTGCACATCTGCTAATGTGGTATATTGTATCCGCTGTTCCCAATGTGGCCTCTTCTACATTGGTGAGACCAAGCGGAGGCTCGGAGACCGCTTTGTAGAGCATCTATGCTTGGTTCGCAACAAACGATAACACGTCCCAGTCGCGAACCACTTCAACTCTCTCCCACCCCCTCCCTGGACGACATGTCCATCCTGGGCCTCCTCCAGTGTCACAACGATGCCACCCGGAAACTTGAGTAACAGCACTTCATATTCCACCTCGGAAGCCTACAGCCCAATGGTCTCAAGGTGGACTGTACTAGCTTCAAAATCTCCCCACCCCTGACCTCATCCCAAGACCAGGCCCCCCTCTCATCCCAGCCTCATTGATCTGTCCGTCGTCTCTCCCACCTGTTGGCCCCTCCCACCTCACTGACCAATCCCCACCACTACCTACCTACACTCACTTTTACTAGCTTCATCCCCGCCTCATTGACCTGTCCGTCTTCTCTCCCACCTATCCGCTCCACTACCTACCTGCTATCACCGCCCCCCCCCTACTATTTATTTCAGAGCCCCCTTCCCCTCCCCCATTTCTGAAGAAGGGTCCTGACCTGAAATGTCAGCTTTCCTGCTCCTCTGATGCTGCTTGGCCTGCTGTGTTCATCCAGCTCCACACCTTGTTATCTCAGACTCCAGCACCGGCAGTTCCTACTATCTCTCAGTGTTGATGTATAGTAGCCAGGCTCTATAAGACTGCTATAGATTGGTCTTCGTTTCTGATGTCCAGTAACTTACTGTTGTCGGGGATGACTTCTCTGTCCTTAATTATGGTGCACCCTGTTAATTAATCAGTTGGCTTTGAGGAGCCTCTGGATCTGTAACAGACCTTGAATGGTTATTATCAGAGTTCACCTTGTGCAGCACGTGTATTCCACAGAGCTTTATGGAGTTCCTGTTGGTTTGGCAGTTCCACAGGGAGTTGAGTTGACTAGGAAGCTGGGTTAGCTTCGTGCACTTGATGGCTCGATTGTGATACAGAGTGGTTATAACAGCATGGGTTCAATTCCCACACTGGCAAAGGCTACTAGAAGGATTCTCCTTCTCAACCTCTTGCCTCACCTGACCTTCAAACTGTCACCAGATTTTCCTCTCTACTGAGACAGTGGCAGTATGGTGACTGCACCTTGAGGCCTAACAATCCATTTTTGAAGGAGGATGAGATGGAGAGTTTGCTCGGGTGAAGAGTCATGAATGAACCCAATTTGTATTTCAATACAATCGATGTAAAATCCCACAGAGGTGCTCAGTTGCTGAGATTAACCCATCTACAAAGTATTTCTGGTGCCCTTTAAGTTGAAAAGTTCCCTGGTGTGCACCATACTTGGGAAAAGGAACAAGGCTGAAGCTCCATTGGCATGCTGTCCCTCTTTACATTTTCTGTTATTGGTGTTAAAATTGGGACAGTTTGTTGTGGTGAGCGATCAGAGGGTTAATGAGTATGTGGAGGTGTTTGCTTGTACCACACAGTGTCAGGTGCATGGTAACTGCTCTCTTATTGCTGCTGAATGCCTGGCTGGCTTGCATTTTGCTTAAAGATCGCTGCTATCTCAAGAATCTTCTCTGAAACCAGCTGCTTCAAGGTTGAGCTAAGAGATGTAGTCACTGTTGTTTTATTTTATCTAATTAAGCTTTTCTCTCTCCCCCCTCCTTCTCCTCCCACCAATCAGTCCCTCCCTATGCTGCTTTTTTTTTCCTGTTGCACAGCTGATTGCAGGCTGTATTTAAGCATTGTTCTGGCATGTCCCATTTTTTTTGTTTTCTGTTGCTGATTCTAGGTGCATGGATGCTCTTCAACAAGAAAACAGAAAGGTCAGAAACTTGCTTAATGTGAGTGGGTTTACACATAAATCGGCTGGAGAACAGGACCATGGCTGTGCAACTTGCTCCTGAGCCTACTTTCAGTTTACTCACGGTAAGCGATTCTGCTGAGCTGACATATTCTGCACTGCTGTGATTTCACACTGTCCCTTCAAAGATTTGCCTTGTATTTTTCAGCAACATTTTAGGTTTGTTGTGTATGGTGCATATAAGCAGATGCTTTTGGACCGAGTCGTGTAATACAGGGATGGGGTTTTTGTGGCTTTAAGCAAATAAATGAGCGAAGACCTGAACTGATCAGGGTTTGCCACCTAAAGGAGATGTCATCATTTCTCAGGGGAGTGCTCTGCCTGGGCTCATTAGGCAGCTCGTGAGAGAAAGCCGTGTAAAAGAGATGCTACACTACAGCAATATTCTTTGCATTTACAGTCAAAATCTTTAACTACCTTTACAGCTCCACTTGGTTAGCGTGGTTTGGTTTAATTTGTATAGACAAGATAAAATTTCTACGATGTGTGTGTGTCTGTGTGTGTACGTGTGTAAGTCTGTCTGTCATTGAGTCATACAGCATGGAAACAGACCCTTCGGCCCAACCAGTCCCTGCTGACCATAACCCCAAACTAAACTAGTCCCACCTGACTGCACTCGGCTCATATCCCTCCAAAATTTCTTATTCATGAACTTATTAAAATGTCTTTTAAATGTTGCAACTGTACCCTCATCCATCACTTTCTTTGGAAGTTCATTCCACAGACAAACCACTCTCTGTGTAAAAAGATTGCCCCTCATGTCTTTTTTATATCTTTCTCCTCTCACCTTAAAAATATGTCCCTAGTCTTGAAAACTCCAACCCTAGGGAAAAGACACCTACCATTCACCTGATCTGTGCACCTCATGGTTTTATAAACCTCTGCAAGGTCACCCCTCAACCTTTTACGCTCCAGTGAAAAAAGCCGCAGCTTATCCAGCCTGTCCTTATAACTCGAACCCTCCAGTCTGGCAACACCTTGGTAAATCTTTTCTGAACCCTGTCCAGCTTCATAATATCCTTCCTATAACTGTGTGTGTGTTTGTGTAGAAGTGTTTGACAGAAACAACATAATACTGAATGATATTAGGGCCTAGCAGAGTGACGTGAGTAACCCTGTGTTATTTACATCCCTTTCTGTTGGTAGAGGAAACCATTCTCAATTGTCCTCCTGATGAAGGGCTTTTGTACAAAAACAAAGGCTGACAGTCTGTTTATGGCAAGGAGCAAAGTCATTGTACCAAGCTGTGGCAGGCTTCGACTGGGAGATCCACATGATGTCATGCAGTATATCTTGCTTACTCTGTCGATTTGATAGTCTCAGAATTAAAGCATGATTGGATATTGTCAACATAAAATAAAAAACCAAAAGAACTGCCAATGCTGTATATCAGGTTCAAAAACAGAAGTTGCTGGGAAAGCTCAGCAGATCTGGCAGCATCTGTGAAGAGAAATCAGAGTTAACATTTCGGGTCCAGATCTGAGGAAGGGTCACTGGACCCAAAATGTTCACTGATTTTCCTTTGTTGTTGTATATAGTGAACACACTATGATCTTCAATATTGGTTTGTAACCAAACTGTTGCTGCTTTTGCTTATTATTCTATGACGTCATGTAAGAGGAAGTAAAGAACTCCACAACGACTGAATTGATTTGGTTCAGAATCTCATATCTACAGCTGACAAATATTGAAAGGCAGCAAAGTGTTTTGGGCGTGAGCTTCCTTTAACATGAGATCACTCGGGAGGGTAGCACTGGAGATCAACAACTCTTTCACAAGTGCCTGGTGATACTGCTCTGGTGGGTACCTCATGGTGATGCAAACCAACTGATGGGATGGCACCGGTCACTTTGTACAGGACTGAAGTCTTAAAGGTGACAGTTGGACCAATTAAAAAGAAGCCCAGTAGACAACAACAAGGCACTTATTAAACTGCCATCTGTTTCTGCCCACAAAAAGATAGACAGGACTGAGTTGTCATTTGAGATTTATAGACATTACAAGGTGCTGCAGGAAGAAGCTGTGAGTGTGCCAGTGCCTTGAGGGCCTACAATTCCCAGTCACACACCCAAGACCAGCTCACAATTCTTCAGAAAGTTTGGGTGATAAGGAGGTCAGTGCTGGTTTTGTGGTGGACTGGTAAAAGGTTGAACAACCAAAGTTGACAAAAAATTAGTGCTTCCTCATTGCATGCATCATCCACACTGCATGTAGGATATGCAAGACTGGGGTTGAATGTACTGGAGACTCTGATTTGGATGGCAGAGATTTTCCTGTGACTGTTCCCTTCCCCAAGCTGCCCGGACCCAAGTGATGGGGGCAGCTACACTGCGCTCATGGAGTGCTGTAGCTAGTGGTGTAGCTGGACATAAGCTGGGTAAGGGGAAGACTGGAAAATGGGCACGTTGAAAGCAAAGTTCAGACACTAACAAACAAACTCCTCTCAACTCCGAGACCTAACCCTGGGCTCCCCCGTCTGTAACTAGATCCTCAACTTCCTAACCCATAGACCTCAATCAGTAAGAATAGGTGACAACACCTCCTCCACAATAATCCTTAACACTGGTGCCCCACAAGGCTGTGTACCCAGCCCCTTACTATACACTTTATACACTCATGACTGTGTGGCCAGATTCCACCCCAACTCCATTTAAGAGTTTGCTGACAACACCACCAACAACGAGACAGAGCACAGGAAAGAGATAGACAGACAGTTTAGTGACCTGGTGTAAAGACAACAATCTCCCCCTCAATGTCAACAAAATGAAGGAGTGTGTCATCAACTTCAGGAAGCGAAATGGAGGGCACGTCCCTGTATCAAAAGTGCTGAGGTGGAGATGGTCGAAAGTGATCACCAACAATCTGTCCTGGTCCGCCCACGTCGATGTGAAGATCAAGAAAGCACAATAACGCCTCAACTTCCTCAGAAGACTAAGGAAATGCAGCATGTCCATAAAGACTCATACCAATATTTATAGATGCACCATAGAAGGCATCCTATCTGGATGCATCACAGCTTGGTATAGTAACTGTTCTAACCAGGACCATAAGAAACTACAGAGTTGTGAACACAGCCTAGTCCATCACAGAAACCAGCCTTCTATCCATTAACTCCATCTATACTTCCTACTGCCTTGGGAAAGCAACCAACATAATCGCAGACCCCTCCCACCCCAGTTATACTCTCTCCCATTGGGCAGAAGATATAAAAGTTTGAAAACGCGTACCAACAGATTCAAGAACCGCTTCTTCCTCACTGTTACCAGACTTTTGAACCGCCGTCTCAAATATGAATGTTGATCTCCCTCTCCGCATCTTCTCTGCGACTGTAACACTGTACTCTGTTCTGCTACCCTGATACACTTTGTATGGTACGATCCTCCTGTAGAGCATGTATAACAACACTTTTCACTTTATCTCGCTACATGTGACAACAATAAATCAATCAGTGAATCAAACAATTGATCAATCAATCACTATAAGTCCACCATTCAGGCTGTGCCCGAAGGAAGTGAATAAGCCACGTACAGATAAATATCGTGCATTTATCTCTTCAGTCATTGCTACTTTCTAAATCCCTATGTCTTCCTCTGTTGCTTTTTCTGTTTCTCCCTGGGTCTAATGGTAAACTTGTGCCCCACTCCGTGGTAATGATGGGAAAATGAAAGGGGTCTAAGATTATGAGAGAGTGATACAGGTTTGTCCCACATTCCTGCTCTGCAGCAGCATTAGTGAGCTGACTACACCCATGGGAAAGTCGCTGCCCCATTGGGAGTGGCGTTTACTTTAAAGGCAATGTTGTGTCTTCACTGACATCAACATGTTGCATGAAGAGGCATTCAACATTCACACACACACACACTCAGAGACACACACTCAGAGACACACACAAATTAACAGGTTCTCCCTCTCAAATTCTCACGCACACACACACTCAAATACACATGTACTCCCTCACAAATTCACACGCACACACACGTACTGTCAGACAAACACACAAATATACACCCACTCCCTCTCAAATTCACATACACATATTCAAATTCACACTCATTCACTCAAATTCATACACCCTAATAAATCCACACACAATCAGATTCATGTACGCACACACACTCTCAATCCACACATACACTCACTCACTCACACATTCACACTCACCCACTCACAAATAAACCCCTGATCATTAACACAGTCCGAAAGTGCCAAACCTCTTTATGTTCACACTCACACCTACGTTTGAAGGTTTTGCTGCAAAGAGTGGAGCTGATGTGTCAGAGTCATTGTCCCAATGTTTTTTTCATTATTCCAGCTGAAAGTTTTTGTGAACTTTAAAGGAGGATGTTTATTTGTTACACATTTTCACTATTTTAATGAAATCACAACATCTTCCTTACTTTGCCCACCGACCCTAACACACAGAAATTAAATACAACTAAAGAAAAAAAGTTGCAAAGAGTTCTTTGTCTCATGCTGTCTTTTGTAGCAGGCCTGTAGTTTCTTAGTTGAGTTGATGTTTTGGCTGGAGTGAAGGTCTTGAAAGGCAAAGGTTTCTCAGTGAGCTGTAGTTATAGTTGACTTGCCAGGAAGTTTATGTCTTGTGAACATGAAGTTAGAACATATTGGAAGAGAGTACTCCATTTCAAGGGATTATTGTTTATTATCTTTACCTTAGCTGCTTACTTGACTGCAGCTAGTCTCCTGGATTCTAATATTCTTTGTATCATTGCTTTGATGAAATTCTGTCTTTACAGCTTCTGTTGTTATCTTTTAAAGCAGCTGACCAATATGTTTGCCTTATCCATGTGACCTTGTAATAAGTGCTTAGTCATTTTCTAAAGAAAGTGGTGGGTTAAATCAGTCAGCATTCTTTGGGGGTTGCAGCTTTTCAAACCTTACAGTTTGATTTTGCCAGTGTCTTTGTGGTTAGAGAGAAGGCCATCATGGCTCAATGAACAGTCATTAAGTTTTATTTGTATAAGTGTCACATATATAGAGTTTTTATAAGGGCTGAATTAGTTTTGGAGTGTTGGAGGTTGAGGGATGACATTATAGAAGTTTATAA